CTTGGCCCATAGGAAGTGGTACTATTAGGAGGCATGGCCTTGTTGGAGTAGGTGTGATATTATTGGAGGAAGTGTGTCACCAGGGGTGAGCTTTGCAGTCTCAGAAGCTCAAACCAAACTTAGTGTGTCTCAGTCTCTTCCTGCTGCCTAAAGATCCAGTGTGGGCCTCTCAGCTCCTCTCCAGCACTATGTCTGTCTGTGTGCTGCCATGCTGACAATAGACTAACCCTTTGAACTGCAAGCCTGCCCCAATTAAATGTTTTTCTTTATAAGAGTTGCTTTGGTCATGGTGTTTCTTCACAGCAATAAAACCCTAACTAAGACAATACATGGCATACTCCTCTGCTTTATGCATACATGTGCATGGGTGTGCGCACACACACACACAAAATCAAATAAAAAATCAGAGGTCATTTATTTGTTGTTTCACAGATGAACCTTTCTACCTTTGTTTTATTTCAAGACTATAATGCTAATTCATTTGTTTTTATTTTAGGGGAGAAGTTAGTGAGTTCAGGATAACACACACACACACACACACACACACACACACACACACCCTCCTTCTTCCATGTGTCTATCCAACCACAGATTTGTCGAGTATGCACATTGTTTTGTGAGACATCAGTTGCTCAGCCGAATGCTCATTGCTTCAACATCAGACAAACAGTTGCCACCATTTGGTTACAGCTCAACATTTTCATGGCTCTCCAGGTCTTCAAGCTCTCCTCGTTGGCATCCCTCCCACTCACTCCACTACTTAAAATCCTCAACTTTTCCATCTCTTTTCTTCATTAAAAGTAATATATCGAGCCCAATGGCCAGGACGGCTACACAGAGAAACCCCGTCTCGAAAAATGAAACAAAACCAAAAAATTTTCACTTTTACATGTCCATGTGTTCACAAATGCTTAGTAGTTGCTTGCTTAGCCTTTTAGAAACTGCTTTGAGAGTCTGAAGAACAGTATGCATTTTTACTAAAGGAAAGTCTCTATAATTCTTTTTGTAAGAAATTAACAACAAAAAAACACCCCAAACAAAACAAACTCCCCACAAAAAAAAAAATCAATAATAGGGGCTGGAAAGATGCTCAACAGCTAAGAACTCTTGCTACGGAGGACATGAGTTGCTCCCAGCACTGATGCTGGATGGCTCATGACTGCCTATGACCTCAGCCTCAGGGGATGTGATGCTCTTCTCTGGCTTCTGTGGATACACACACACATGCACACACACAGGCAAACACAGATACACAGGAATAAAAATGTCTTTAAAAAACTAAACTTTCTTTCCTTCTTAGAGCCATTGTCTCATTCTGTAGCCCAGGCTGTCCTGGAACTCACACTGTAGACCAGGCTGGGCTTGAATAACCCACCTGCCTCTGCTTCCTGAATGCTGGAATTAAAGGCGTCCAACACCACTTCAGCCTGAATACCATTTTCAAATCCCCTTTTCGCTGAACAGAATTCATCTGGAATCCAGTTTTAAGAAATGAGTGTATCAAGCTGGTGTGTCCTATATCTCTCAGGAATTGAAGAACCTTTGCCTTCCCTAATATGCTACTTCCTTGGCCCTGCCATTAACTAGGTCAGAGTGATCCTTGGCTCTATTTTATGCTCCAGAAAATGCTGCCAACTAGCTAGTCACATAATGTGCTGTTCAACTGCTACCTTCCATGCATGTGATATTCAGAGAGCAGTTTAGTACTGGAGAAACATGGGCCATTGAGGACTTAGTACCAGCACACACATGGCCAATAGCTGCAGGTGGTTAGCTCTCAGCACAACAGGAAAGCAATTGTCAGTGCTTGCAATTTATTCCCACATAGTCAAGTATACCATAGTAAGAATGGATATATCCCAAGGGTGCAGAAAATTAAAAAATAATTTATTGACTGCAACAAAAGATCTATTAGGTAGCTAAAAATCTCCAGCCATTGTTGATTGGGTACATTTGCTAAAACTTTGAGAGGTGTTATAAAAATGTAACATGAGCTGGGAGGTGGCAGCGCATGCCTTTAATCCCAGCACTTGGGAGGCAGAGATAAGAGGATCTCCGTGAGTTCAAGGCCAGACTGGTCTATGAAGCAAGTTCCAGGACAGCCAAAGCTGTTACACAGAGAAGCCTTGTCTCAAAAAATCAAAAAAAGAAAAGAGTGAGGAAGGATGGAAAGGAAGGAAGGAAGGAAGGGATAGTTTGCTTTTATAGAAGCCCTTATGAGTAAGGAATGGAATCACACGGGAGAAAACTGCTGACTTCAGCAGTCTTGAAGGGTACAAAAGACTGGAAAGGAGAGACAGGGAAGTCTCAGCTCCATGGAAGCCTATGGCTGGCCAGACAGAAAGGAGTCCTGCTATCCTGATACACTCTTTAACAAAAGACGCTAGTATTATTTTTTTCTTGCTACAGGTCCTTTCCTTTCCCTATATCTGAGAACAGTTCAACCCTAGAAAACATACTTGTTATTTGCCCAGAAACCAAAGGGAGATGAGCAGGGCTGACAGCCAAGATACAGACAGATCAAAAACCAAATGCTATTTAGTCCACCTCAGGCAGAAGCAGTAATTGAATTAAACTTCCTCTAAAATGGTAAGTTTGGGGCTCTTAAAGCCAGGCACAAAGAACCAGGGTAGAGTGAGCTGCTACATAAATGGATGCATTGAGCTCCCATCCCCCCACCCCGCCCACGGTGAGTTTGATAAGCTGGGATTGCTTCTATCACTCCACTGCCCAGCTGAAAACTGATTAAGCTACTTATGGGGCTCTGGGGGCTAATGGCCTGGCCCACCAAGAACACCGCTGTCACTGACTTAAGTAAGCTGCTTGGCTTGTATGGTTTGATTATCATAAGAAGGAAAAAGACAGGGCCGTGTGAGGAGACAGCAGGGTATTGGGAAGCTATAAGAAGCAGGCGTTATTAGTCCAAATGGATACACGACACTGACACCCTAAAATGAATATGGAATTACTGCCAATTCTCTCTCCTCTGACACCATAGCTCAGTTTGAAGGGCCTCCTTAAAGGGGGAGACGCTCTGTTTTATACTTCCTTTAAAAGAATGTCTGGTGCCTTTAAACACACTTCTCAATGACAGTGTCTGGGTCCTCAGCTACCATGACCACACAGACTGCTAAGATAAATAAATATGTATCAGAAAATTCAATCAGTTGCCCCTAGAATATCACTATGTGACTGTAGTTGGAGCACACCCCTCCAGGCCCTGGCCAGCAATTCTGTGGGTACTTGCCTATGGGAAAGGTGCACAGGACTGAAGGAGCAAGTAGGTCTAAATTTGACAAGAAGTAGAGACTCACACAAGACTTCTCTCAGGTCTGCCCAACTAAATGCTACGTTATTTCTTCCATTTAAAATAGCTGTCTTATCTCCAAATGAAAAGGAACAAAAAAGCCTTAATTTTAAACTCAAAAAAGACATAAACCAGAAACCTTGAAAAGTAACATAAAGTCTGAAAAATGACTGAAGGACATGGGTGAGTTTTTAAGCTGCGCTCATTTCTTTTGGGTAAAATAACCAGAGGGAAACAAGGACAGACTCAAAGTTGTTTCAGATTCCTGAAAGTTTTCACAATTATTTTTTGATTGACTCTTCCAGATTCCGTATTTGTTTAGAGAGTAAAGCAATGCTTCCATTCAGTGTCTAGCAGCTTCTTAGGGAGGGGGTGTTGATTTAAATGATTAACCAAAGCTAAGCATACTCAGAACTTAGGGCTGAGCACACAAAACCTTGGTTTCTTCCTGGATCTAACCTGGTCAATCATTAAAAGTACACACACTAACAAAATCGTAAAGGCTGGTTTTGACTCTCTTCTGTGCTCTGTTATGCTTTATTAAACTTTAAAAGTCACTCAGCTGTTAGATTTCAGCACATCTGAAGGCTTTGTGCATTCACTCACTGCCCTTTCCATATCTTTTTATTCTTCACATAATTTACAGTTCAAAAATTCATATCACATTAGATTCATGATTAAAAAACAATCCATTTATCTTTGGTATAGTCACAAGGCCTCATCACTGTCTAGTTCAGTCCTGGAAGAAATCCACATCTATTGGCAGTCTATCCTCACCTCCATTCTTTCCCCACTAATCTGCTTCCTGTCACTATGAATTTGCTCATTGTGGACATGCCAATGTTACAATGATACATATTTTTCCCTCTCTGGATTCTTAGCATGATGTTTCAAAGGCTCATCCATGTTGTAGTGTGTATCACGATTTCACTCATTTTGGCTCATTAATGTTATATAATAACGATAAACAACACCTATCAGATCAGTTGATGAACATCTGGGTTGTTCCCCAATCCCCCCCCCCCCCGAAAAAGAGTTTCTCTGTAGCTTTGGATCCTGTCCTGTAAACTTGCTCTCTAGATCAGGCTGGTCTTGAACTCACAGAGATCCACCTGAATCTGCCTTCTGAGTGCAGGCAATAAAGGTGTGTGCCACTATCACCCAACCTGTTCCCCACTTTTTAAATTTTTAATTGTGAATCATGTTGCACTGGGCATTCTTGCAAAGGTTTTGCTTCGTTTGTTTTTGGGACAGGGTTTTGTTATGTTTGCTATGGAGCTGTGCTGCCTCAGTCTCCTACATAGCTGGAACTGTGAGGGCATATCACCCTACCCTGAATTCCTGTACAAGTTTTCATAAGGACATACGTTTTTCATTGTCTTGGGCATATACTTGGGAGTGGAATCTCTGGATTATATGGTAACTCAAACCTTCTGAGAGCTGCTAACCTGCTCTCCAAATGGCTGTCCCAATACCCCACAAGCGGTGCATGAGAGCTCCAGTGACTCCATTCTTGTCGGTGTTTGTCCTCGTCTCCTAGTACCTTTTTATACTAAATCTCCCTCCTATCATGAAGAAGTTTAATTGAATGTGAAGAAACTACCACAATGACACATTAATTCCAAGCTAAAGTCATAATCTACAAAGTGACTTCTGACAGAAAACAATAATGAAAAGGCCTCTGCGCACTTACCTGCTGCAGGTCAGCAAGAGAGTACAGGTGGATCTGTTGCAGGAGGTATTCTCTGGGGAAAATTCTGGAGACAAAGCAGATACACAAGTGACTAATGGTCCTACAAGACACACTTTTCCACGCTAAACCTCACTCAGAATCCTTTTCCTCTGCCCTCAGTCCTTTTCTGTCACCTCTGTTTACGTTCCCAATCCCTTTAACACTTGGATATATTTCTTTTTAAATAAATACTATGAAAATATGAATTTTCATTTATGATTTTATCTGAAATGCTATACTATTATGTAGTGTTCTAGGACACAGACGATTTTTTTGTTTTGTTTTTGATCTTTTTGTTTTTGGAGATAAGTTTTTGATATGTAGCCCACTGTGGCCTTGAACTTAAAATCCTCCTACTTTAGCCTTGGCAGATGCTGGGATTACAGGAGTGCACCACTATGCCTGGACCTACGTCTGGTTTCCTGTAGTAGTTATGACTCTTAACAAATTGTGTGTTTTACATACATCTCAAACCCAGCTTCTATGCTAGCCAGCCACTATGCTGTAACAAGGACAACTGAATTTGCAATCTCTAACATCTTTGTAGCTGTTACAATAATGTTTGGATAAAAATGGCACCAATAGGCTCACATGTTTGGAGATTGGTCACCTTTTGGTAGAACTGTTTGGGAAGGATTAGTGGGTATAGTCTTGTTAAAGGAGGTATTGTCATTAGGGGTGGATTTTGAAGTTTTAAAAGAATCATGCCTCTCTCTTGATATTTTGCTTATGGATCAAGATGTGAGCTCTCAGCTGTCCCTGCTGTCATGCCTCTGCTTTGCCATCATGGACCCCAACCCTCTGAAAATGCAGGGCCAATTAAATGCTTTCTTTTTAGGTTGCCTTATTGTTACAGCAATAGAAAAGTAGTCAATACAACTGTATATCTAATCTAACAAATTTTGGAGTTAAATATTAGAGTGGCAACCTGTGTGTTTCTCTTTAAACCCCTTGGGCAGGGAGACAGTCCTACTGATGCCACATTAATGATATATTCTCTAAAGGGCATATTGAAATTACCCTTAGATTTTGGACACAGATAGTAACAACAGCATAAAACTGTAAACCGAGACTCTACAATAAATTTCATTAGCTGTTGTCAATTTCTAGGATCTAGATAGACGGCAGTGAGTGAATAAGAAACAATAATTGTATATAAGCAGCCCCAGGAAAGGGAGCAAAGTAATTAGAAACAACACACACACACACACACACACACACACACACACACACACACGCACACACACACACGCGCACACACACACACACACCTATAATCTCAGTATTTGGAGGTTAAGGAAAGGGAATCTTAAGTTGGATGTCAACCTGGACTCTATAGTGAGACCCTGACTCAAAAGAAAAAAAAAAACAAAAGAAACAATAAAAAGTAAGCTATACATACAAATAAAATCCAAACTCAAACTCACAATTGCTACCATTTTCTCTCTGTCTTACTTGGTGCTATACAATATTCTTGTGGTTTGCTTGTGAGCCTTAGCCTTTAGTGACTGCACTCTTCTTCCAGCCCTATCTTGTATTCAAAATTAAACCACCAATTTATTCAACTAACATGTATGACTACCCATTAGATGCCAAGCACCAGCAGGTCTCTGTATCTGAGTTCAAGAAGCAAGGAGCCAAGTAAGGCTACAGGATATAATCGAACTGGTAATTAGACAACAGCCTGGAAACAGAAAATGTTAGAACTGAAGCATAGGACATAGCCTTTTAGAATGCAAATTCCAACTTTAGCTACCCATCAGAATCACTGGGCAGTTTTAGGAAGTGAAGAAACACATACATGGGGAGAGAACAGAAGTGATTGCAAAGCAAAAATTCTATTACTAGCACAGCCAAGGTTTAGAAGCCCTGGCCTAATATATAACTTGCTGGGAAATTCATTATTGAGTCTTCCAGTTAAGGACAGGTTAGTTGCCAAACTCTAGAGATGAACATACTTAGTTCTCTGTCCATCTAATGCTGATCAAGCACATGCTATCTATCTATCTATCTATCTATCTATCTATCTATCTATCTATCTATCTATCTATCTATCTGGCACTGTACAATATTGAAAAACTGGGTAATGAATCAGCTGGACAAAAACTTGGCTCACAGAGGACCAAATAGCTACATTCTAGGTTGGAACTGTAGGAAAGTAGAGTAGGAATGGAAGAGTTCTTCTTCAAAACACAGCTCCATCCATAGACCAAGTGACAAGGGAAATAGAACTTGGGCTCTGAGGCCAGGCTCCCTTCATGTCCAATGGTCCAGGGCTGCTCTGTGGCAGGAAGCAGAGCACAGGCCCTGTGCAGCTGGCAGTAGACAGGGAAAGTGCTGCCATGGTGCAGCAGCTTTCCTAGAGAAAGGCCCGTTTTACAAAGTGGGCCATAGTTTCAGGGATCAAGGGATACATACAGCCAACATCCACTTCATTAACACACACAGGACAGAGGTGAGCAGGGGACCATTCCTCACTAGAGAAGGGCCATAGTTTCAGGGATCAAGGGGTACATACAGCCAACATCCACTTCATTAACACACACAGGACAGAGGTGAGCAGGGGACCATTCCTCAGTGTAAAGCACCAATAACAAACAGTAAGAGGAGCCCACTTTTAGCTCAGCACACGTAAGTTCACCCTGCCCTGACAGCTATTCTGAGCATTAAGTATCCATTTTACAGAACAAGAAATGGGCTCAGAGGTAAACACTAATGTGCTCAGGATCATGAAGCTGGGATTCAAGATCAAGAATCTATAAGGACAAAGGACTGTGCTCTTTCCAGATTCTTGGAGTTGGGCACAGGAAGGAGTGAAGTGGATTCGAGTTGACCATCTAATTTAGCTATTGTATTTGTGTTCTTTGGTATAATTGTGTATTATCTTTTTAGGGCAGCAGCAAAATAATCACTGATCTTTGTGCACACATGCACGGGCACGTGCAAGCATGTGCACGCATGTGCATGTGGAGGCCAGAAATTGATTGCTCTCCCCTAATTTTTTAGGCAGGGTCTCTCACTGGCCTTGGGCTTACCAACTTGGTTGAGCTGGCTGGCCAGTACACCTCAGAGATACTCCAGTCTCTGCCTCCCCAGGGCAGAGATCACAAGTATGCCTGGCTTCTACCAACTTTTTACATGGGTGCTGGGGACCCAATCTCAAGTCTCATACATACATACAGACAGACAGACAGACAGGTAGGGCATCTTCTAGTCTGGTCTAGTTTTGCTTCATTAGGCTGTTCTCCACTTGTAAACCTCCTAAATTCAGCCAGGGCAGGTATTCCTGACAGGATACTAGCTCTTTCTAGGATAATGACAATGGGATAAAGAAAGGGGCAGGTGTACACATATAAGGGTCTTTTTCTAAATTCTGACGTTTAAAATAAGTGAAAGTGAGGAAGGAGTCGAAGATGACTCTGAAGTCTGGTGTAGGGGACTGGATGGTGATGCCACTGGCAAGCATGGGATTAGGCTATCAAGAGGGAGGATAACCATGTTATACCTCTATGTGCTCAACACCCAGAGACAGACAGGGGTAAGGGACGTCTTACATCAGCACAGAGTGGAGATTGCTGGAGCTGTGAGGATTGATGGAATAGATGGAACAGAAACCGAAGGGAAAGGGAGATGAAAATAGATAAGGGCTAATTCTTTATGTTACAATGTCTAGAGCTATCAAAATGTATACTTTGGTGGTCTACAATTTTTCTCATGCAGGAAAATTGATGTTTTGAAAAGGACATTCATACATAAGTTGGTGTCTATGTTTCCTTGTTGTTTGTAAAATGCTCATAGCCTTACAGGGTGGTGGTGGCACCTAGAAGCAGGCAGATCTCTGAGTTCCAGGACAGCCAGGGCTACACAGAGAAACCATGTCTATAAAAACCAAAAGGATAAAGGAAAAAAAAGCTCATATCCTTGTAGCATTGATCCAGCCTCCCCAAATATTTACAGCTCACATACCCATAGGATAGTGGTCAAAACCAAGCAATTAATGACTATGGAAGTTACAGTATTTATTCAAATTCCAATTATTTCACTTGTGCTTCTCATTCATTCTAGGATCCTTTCCAGAATATAACACTGTATTTATGGATTGGGGTCTTGTTGTTGGACATTCTTAAGTATTTGCAGGCCACTTGAGACCCAAACACATGCAGAAAAGAAAAATCTAGGACATGGTTTTTAGTGGGATTTTATGGGTAGCGACATGCAATATCATATTCTAATAGGGAAGAAAGAGGATGGTGGGAGTAGATGGAAGGAAGGAACCATCATTTTGAAAGGTAAATGCTTGATAATGAAGTCTCTTAAATAAAAGCAAAGAGGCAGCAGTGCCAGAACAGTGACACAGTGTGTGGTGTGCTAGACAGTGGTCTCGCCATTCCATCTGACCTCTTGCATTATTGTAGAGAAGCTTCAGTCAGTTTAGGACTGAAGGAAGCTGACTGACATAATCTACAGCAGCTGCAACCTGTTATGTTTTGATACTTAAAACTCTTTCTGGTCTAAAATCCTATGATGTATATGGTTAGAATTAGTAGGATGCAATAATTATTCATAAACTAAATCATCCTGGCATGCCCTTGAATTCCACTAGGCAGCCAGAGTCCTTAGGCTTGTGCTTTACCTGCGAGAAGGCAGGTTTTATGTAAGTGCTGAGTTTGCTGCTTTAATGAACACAACTGATGAGCAATGAAGGGCATTTCCAGTGTCTTCCTCCTGAGCCCTGCTATTCTTTTCACAGCATCTCAGCAGCTCTGGCGTCTGTCACCTCCACTACTTCTTCAGCATTAGTGCACAGCTAAAGGTAGTTCTGTGTCTACTTAGTGTTGCTAACTATGTCAATGAATTTTGCATGATTTACTTTCCCCCTCCCTAGAAAAGAGACTCTGTTCCTCCAGAAGCATGTCATCTACTGTCTCCCTGCATCACGCTCCAGTGCTGAACACCATAATTTATATGAGGTCAATCTAGACAGCCATAAAAACTGGAAAATGCAATATATGTGGAAAAGCTAAA